TGTCTATGACATATATAAAACTACCCACTTTCAGTGTATTATTTTATTATAATGTCTATGACATATGTAAAACTACCCACTTTCAGTGTATTATTTTATCATAATGTCTATGCCATATATAAAACTACCCACTTTCTCTCCTACCTTGAACCATTCTTATATTTTACTTAAGTTATAATTAACAAACCATAATAATATCAATACTATAGAACTACAATAATAATTAAATTAAAAGTGGAAAATACCGCAAGCATGTCGCCTTCATCAACTTCGACATTTTCAACAGGAATCTTGAAAGTCATTGGAACCGAGAGTGGCTCCATAGCCATCTGGCTGCCGGTAACGGGGTTATAAAACTGAAGCAGAATTAATGGTCCACGTAGACTTTCTCCGGCAACTTGCTTAGCTAAATCAGACATTATTTCAGCTGAGCCCACGCATGCGCTATAATAAAACTGATCGTTGGACTGCCATATGCTATAAGTACCGATGACGTCAGAGCCCAGACTAACCTGACAGAAAATATAAAGATTTTGATTTCGTTTTACAAAATGGTTTAAAATAACCATGACAGATAAGATTGCACCGTTATGTTATATCAACCATCCATCAACATTGACAAACATTTTAAGGCCTACCTTATTCCACCGTTATGTTATATCAACCATCCATCAACACTGACAAACCTTTTAAGGCATACCTTATTCCACCGTTTTGTTATATAAACCATCCATCAACACTGACAAACATTTTAAGGCATACCTTATTCCACCGTTATGTTATATCAACCATCCATTAACACTGACAAACATTTTAAGGCATACCTTATTCCACCGTTATGTTATATCAACCATCCATCAACACTGACAAACATTTTAAGGCATACCTTATTCCACCGTTGTGTTATATAAACCATCCATTAACACTGACAAACATTTTAAGGCATACCTTATTCCACCATTATGTTATATAAACCAGCCATCAACATTGACAAACATTTTAAGGCATACATTATTCCACCGTTATGTTATATAAACCATCCATCAAAATTGACAAACATTTTAAGGCATACTTTATTCCACCGTTATGTTATATAAACCATCCATCAACATTGACAAACATTTTAAGGCATACCTTATTCCACCGTTATGTTATATCAACCATCCATTAACACTGACAAACATTTTAAGGCATACCTTATTCCACCGTTGTGTTATATAAACCAGCCATCAACATTGACAAACATTTTAAGGCATACCTTATTCCACCGTTATGTTATATAAACTATTCATCAACATTGACAAACCTTTCAAGACACACCTTTTACAGAAAATTAATGTTTGTTTTTTCAGAACATAACGCACCAATCAGAGAACATGGTACACAGACAATACATTGTAAACTATTATATAATTATCAATATCAACGTAAATACAAATATTATAACTACGTTATACAGGTTTATTGACTCAAAGACTGGCTACAGAAACGTACGATTGGTCAGCCCAGTAGTTCTGGCATTATAAGTTCTATATCTAGCTATACCTGGTTGTTTTCATCATCGTCCAGTGATGCTAATACCAAATATTCTCCAACTAAGAAATCAAATTCTGGCTTCTCACTTCTCAGAGCGATGGCTGAAGTTCTGGCTACCGCTGGGTCTTCCCTGACAACGATATATTGGCACATACCAGCCAGGTAAATTGTGGAATCTTTAATCAGCCTCATAATGTCTGACGAATTCGGTGATGTAGTGTTCAGATGGAGTGTTTGTACGGTTAAAAGTGTGTTTACCTAAATAAACAATACAGTGTTTTGGATGACAGTTGTTGTTAGCTTTTTAATGTACGCGACATTTTATTGTTTACAGGATGGATTCTCTTTACTCTTAAGTCTTTGTATTTAACAAGATGAAGCATAAGCATCTAATCTAAACTTATGTCTTGTATTTAATAAGATGAAGCTTAAGCATCTAATCTAAACTTATGTCTTGTATTTAATAAGATGAAGCTTAAGCATCTAATCTAAACTTATGTCTTGTATTTAATAAGATGAAGCTTAAGCATCTAATCTAAACTTATGTCTTGTATTTAATAAGATGAAGCTTAAGAATCTAATCTCAACTTATGTCTTGTATTTAATAAGATGAAGCTTAAGAATCTAATCTAAACTTATAGTAAGTTTAGATTAGATACTTAAGCTTCATCTTATTAAATACAAGACAGTCAATTTTCTCTGACGTCATTATTTAGAAACAATATAGTTTTTCAACTCTAAGGTTGTAGTCAGTACTCACAGTATATCAGTTTAACTCTAATGAATGTAGCCAGTACTCACAGTATATCAGTTTAATTCTAATGAATGTAGTCAGTACTCACAGTATATCAGTTTAACTCTAAGGTTGTAGACAGTACTCACAGTATATCAGTTTAACTCTAAGGTTGTAGACAGTACTCACAGTATATCAGTTTAACTCTAAGGTTGTAGACAGTACTCACAGTATATCAGTTTAACTCTAAGGTTGTAGACAGTACTCACAGTATATCAGTTTAACTCTAAGAGTGTAGCCAGTACTCTGATATACTGTGTTTAACTCTAAGAATGTAGTCAGTACTCACAGTATATCAGTTTAACTCTAAGGTTGTAGTCAGTACTCACAGTATATCAGTTTAACTCTAAGAATGTAGTCAGTACTAACAGTATATCAGTTTAACTCTAATGAATGTAGTCAGTATTCACAGTATATCAGTTTAACTCTAAGGTTGTAGTCAGTACTCACAGTATATCAGTTTAACTCTAAGAGTGTAGCCAGTACTAACAGTATATCAGTTTAACTCTAATGAATGTAGCCAGTACTCACAGTATATCAGTTTAACTCTAAGGTTGTAGACAGTACTCACAGTATATCAGTTTAACTCTAATGAATATAGCCAGTACTCACAGTATATCAGTTTAACTCTAATGAATGTAGCCAGTACTAACAGTATATCAGTTTAACTCTAAGGTTGTAGACAGTACTCACAGTATATCAGTTTAACTCTAATGAGTGTAGCCAGTACTCACAGTATATCAATTTAACTCTAAGAGTGTAGCCAGTACTAACAGTATATCAAATTCGATGACGAGGAACCCACTTTGAGACTAATAATGGCTGGAGACGGCTTAAATGGGTAATGAAGAAAAACTTTAATATAAGTTTAACATGACAGCAAATGTACAACGTTTCGACAAAGGTTTTTTCTCATCCTTTTGGTGAAAAAAACCTTTTGTAAAGTTTTAAATTTTTCTTTTTTTTTAAATTTT